CGGCCGCTCCGCTCCCGGCCCCGGCCCCGGCGCCGGCACCGGCCGGGGCAGCGCGGCCGCGGGCGGCCACAGGGCCGGTCCCGGTCCCTGTGCCCGAAGTTTCCCAAGCCCGCCCCGCCGAGGCGGAGGATGCAGCAGGACGGCGCGGAGCAGGGCGGCTTCCCGTGGCCGGAGCCGCTGCCCGTGGGCGGCCCGGTGCTGCCGTTCTGCTGCCCGCGCTGTGGGGAGCGCGGTCGGTTCGGCCGCGGCGCGCGTGTCAGGGCGAAGTTCAGCAGGATGGTGAAGGCTGTGGACAAGACGATGGAGAAGCAGCTCGACAGGCTGACCGGGGAGCTGGCCCAGAAGACGGCGGAGCTGCAGGAGATGCGGGTGGCCTTCGTGCAGCTCTCGCAGAAGCAGCAGGAGGTGCAGCGGAGGGAGCGGGTGCTCAGCAGGCAGGTGGACGTGGCGGTGGAGATGATCGCAGCCTTGAAGCAGCGCCTCAGCGAGTTCGAGGAGGAGGCAGAAAAAGAATTGAGGGGAAAAGCCAGGCTCCAGCACTTCATTGAGAACCTGCTGCAGCGCATGGACCTGGCAGAGAGGCAGCTAGAGTATTACCAAAACCAGCAGATAGCCTGCAGCCGTATAGCAGATGTTACACTCTCTTGCCTAACTAGTAATCATGTGTCTCATCCATTTGTGGTGAATGGTCAGTGGCAAAAAGAAAAGGGGGAGAGTAAGGGGCGGCAAAGACAGAAACAGTACCAGGAGGATGCCACTGACACTGATGGCACGGGTAATAGCAGTACTATAAGTGACACAGGTGCGGGGCAGCGGGCACCAGTGTCCTGGAAATGTGATGGTGAAAAGGACTGTGACAGTGCAGAAGATGAAGAGAATTGTGGCATTGTGACTTGTAGTGCAGCAGAATTTACATGCAGTAGTGGGCAATGTATTTCCAAAAGCTTTGTCTGCAATGGTCAAGATGACTGCTCCGACCACTCGGATGAATCTTTGGAGCAGTGTGGCCGCCAGCCTGCACCTCTGGTGAAGTGTTATGTGAGTGAGGTGCAGTGCGGCTCAGGTGAAAAAGACTGTGACAGAGATCCTGATTGCAAGGATGGAAGTGATGAAATTAACTGCCCTTTTCAGACTTGCAGGCCAGACCAGTTCAGATGTGAAGATGGGAACTGTGTCCATGGGAGTAGGCAGTGCAGTGGTGTGAGAGACTGTCTGGATGGCACTGATGAATGTAACAATGTTATTCAGTGCTCTGGACCTGGCAAATTCAAGTGCATAAGTGGAGAATGCATAGATATCAATAAAGTGTGTAACCAGCAGAGAGACTGCAAAGACTGGAGTGATGAGCCCCTGAAGGAATGCAACATAAATGAATGTGACTGTCCATCTGGGTTTGAGTTTGTAGACAAGAGAAACTGTGGAGATTTTGATGAATGTCAAAACCCTGGTATCTGTAGTCAAATATGTATCAACCTGAAAGGTGGCTACAAATGTGAACGTAGCCGTGGCTATCAGATGATTCCTGCTACAGGAACCTGGAAAAGGCCATACCAGTACAAAAATACAAATAACACCTGTGATTACAAAGACACTGCTAAGCAGGGTTTAGGGGTTTATGGCACGGAGTCAAGGGGTAACAACTACAGTGTTTGGAACAATTCTACAGCTTTGGCCTTACCTCCTGATGTTTTTCCGATTTGTGGGGATAGGGCCTGGCAAGGTATCGCTGCAAATGCTATCAGAAGTCCATGTTACTTAGATAAACTCATTGTATTTGTTTCTAGCTTGTTGCAGTTGCATGAAATCACCAGACATAAATGGGCATTGCTTGCACCGGATTGCAATGATAATGTTGAATTGTGTGGGGTTGCAGCTAGAGCGGCATTGGCAATTTTAGTGCTTGGAGTGGCATCTGTGGCCGCACGTAACAACTGCTTGGCTGCAGGGATCGGCTGCGGTGTGGACGCCCCTAGGTGCACCCTGAGCGTTTTGTTCGGAGGGGACTCCACTCTCAGCTGCTCACCGCAGGAGCAGACAAAGATCTCCTTTAGCTGCAGACAAACAGTAGGTTTTCAGCTGCTGGAGGGATACTAACTGGAGTATTAATAATTGTATGTGTTATTCTTAAATGTCCAGGTATTTTTTGTTGAAAGTATTTGAGTAAGGGTAAGGTTTTAAAACAAAGTGTTGCAAGTCACTTCACGAGGAACACAATGAGAGACAATACTTGTTTGTTTGTTTATCATTCTAAATTATATTCTTGTGGTATGATTGAGGATGTTGTATGATTGAGAGTGAGATGTGCCAGAGGCCTCTGGGTGTACGATTGTGCTCTGTATGTGTGATTGTACTGTGTACTGTGTGAGAGAGAGCACATTTTAACCATAGTGCAGGTTATTGTTGCCCTAGTGCAGGATTCTGGAATATAACCATAGTCCAGGTTATTGTTGCCATAGTGTAGGATCCCGAGATATAACAACAGTGCAGGCTAAAAGCATGGGAAATTGGTGCCGGCAAAAATCATAGAAAAATGGATTCATTAGAAAGATTCAATATGATATCAATCCTTTCAATCAATGGTTCACTGATTTGTTTGAAACAATGCATAGATGGTTACTGGGATTAGTCAAAGGGGCATTAAGGATTCTGTTCATTGTGGTGTCAATCATCATTACACGTAGTATTGTGATAAATGTGGTTAAGGGGTTACTTGCAAAAATGTTATAGGGATTTTGAAGTGGTGCTGGGAACAGGTATCCAGTGGATCACTGTAAAGTGGACTGAAGCAGTTTTAGAATCTGCACACGCTGAAGACGACCAAGAAGAGGTTCCTGATAATCTGACAATGACGTGGGCTGTGACACCTCAAGGACTGTCAAGAACAGCCTTTGATCACCATCAAGTGATTAGGTTTAAGTGTGTTACTATTAAGTTGTGTTGCTTACTATTAAATTGTGTTACCATTAAGTGTTTACAGTAATTGTGGTGTTATTAGGGTTAAGTTGTATAGTTGTGTTATGTTATGTATTTGACATCTGATGTAAAACCAAGTACTGCTTGTACTAAAAGAAAACGGGGGAATTGTTGGGAATTGGCATAATTGTTCGATCTAAGCTTGCTTTAAGCATCCAGGGGTAGGCCTTAGAAATCTCAGGGCCTGCTGTAGCTGAGCAAACCAAGCTGCCAGAGTAACTGTGAGAAGCTCCCACAGCAATGACTCCCACATCACCCAATTAAGGAACTCAGAAAATATTGTTATCAGCAGCTGGCCTCAAGGACTAGGTCTACGCGACCGTTAAGCACAAAGGGGGTTGTTTTCCTAACTTCTAATCAAAAGGTGGTGTTATTTTCTTAACGGTTTGTCTGGTGCTTTTGACCAATAATCTTGTGTGAAACACTGTCCACCCCTGTAAAATTCACTATAAAAGTTGGGCTATTCGGGCAATAAAATGGTGAAGCATGATCTGACTCTGCTGGTGTCTGTCGTGCTTTCGTCCGTGCTTCGCAACAGAAGCCTTGGAAAGCAGTCACTAACGCCTTAGCTATACATCAGGCTGAGCAGAGTCGCTGCTGCCGTTACAGAGCGACTGGGATTGCCAGGAAGAGCTGCTAGTGTTAAACCTCAACAGGGAGAGATGGAGGGAGCTGGGGATTGCCCATTGCCGCCTTCAGTGAGAACGATAACGCTGCCAAAACCAGACAGAAAAAACACAAGCCCGTTTACAGATGGTGTTCAACAGAGGCAGAGGGTGTGGAACCAAATAGCAAATGAGGCCCTACGCGAGGGTGAACACGAGATAGCTGCACAATTGGTTCCAGAGGCCTTCCCGGTAATACACTCACCACCGGATGCCCAGGGTAATGTTACGGTTAATCTAGTGAATTTGGACTGGAAATTGTTAACTCAGCTGCGGTCCACAGTAAATGACTCAGGTCTGAAAGGTGAACCTACAAGACACATGCTGGACTACATTTGGGGAACAAATATTTTGCTTCCAGGAGACATACGCAACATAATGAAGTTAATTTTGACCCAACACAAGCAGCTCTTATTTAATGCCCATTGGCACGCTGCTTGTCAAGAAGCAGTTGCAGTGATAAGAGCACCGGGGGACCCTTTACATGGGGTCACGCTGGAAGAGTTGATGGGGATAGGACCGTATTTTAGGACAGAAGCACAGGCATTGCTGGGACCTGATAAAGCCAAGGAATCAATGAGAACGGCCAGAAGAGCATTGGATCGGATAAAGGGGCCAGGGGGAATACCTTCCTACATGGGAATCAAACAAGGTAGAGAGGAACCATTTGGGCTTTTTATTGATCGCGTAGCAAACGCAATACAGGCGGCAGGGGTGCCCGATTACCTCAAGGGCATGATATTAAAACAGTGCGCAATTCAGAATAGCAACCCCTCTACCCGCACTATATTAGCTTCCTTACCCGCAACATGGACAATCGAGGAAGGGTTGGAAAGAATGGCTCAGGTACCAGTAGGCCCACAGGCCTAATGTTAGTAGAGGCAGTAAAGCAATTAGGTGACAGCATGAAAGAACAGGCACAGGCTGTGAAAGAACAGGCACAGGCTGTGAAAGAGCATGTTCAGTCTACACAGAGTCAGGTCCTTGCAGCTCTTGCTCCTTTGCAAGCCGCCGGTTCACGCTCTGGTGGTCAAGTACCACCCCCTAGTAGCCAATTACCACACCGCTGCCGATGTTATCGTTGTGGTGCTTTTGGACACGTAAGACAATACTGCAAAGCTGGGGCAGTATGGTGCTCAAATTGTCGAACAATCGAACAATGAAGCGGCATGTCGACGCAATGTGCCGGGAAACGGCCGGAACAGCGGAAAGAGTCGCAAATGCCTCCCGCAGCCGCTCCGCTCTAGGCTCCGGCGCCGGCACCAGCCGGGACGGCGCGGCCGCGGGCGGCCACCTCTCGGCTGGGGCCTGTCCCGGTCCCTGTGCCCGAAGTTTCCCAAGCCCGCCCCGCCGAGGCGGAGAATGCAGCGGGACGGCGCGGAGCAGGGCGGCTTCCCGTGGCCGGAGGGGCTGCCCGTGGCCGGCCCGGCGCTGCCGTTCCGCTGCCCGCGCTGCGGGGAGCGCGGCCGGTTCGACAGCCTGGCGGCCCTGCGGGCGCGCCTGCAGCACGGCCGCGGCCGCGGCGAGCGGCGGGCGCCGGCCGGGGGCCGCCCGCTCTTCCCGCTGCGGGACGCGGAGCCGGGCTCGCCGCCGGAGCCCTGCGGCCGGGGCGGCCCCTCAGGCCGCGGGGCGCCCCTCGCCGCTTTCTGCGACGCCTCCGGAGAGGGGCGGCCGGAGCCGGAGCCTGAGGCGGCCGGGCTGGCGCATGTCAGGGCGAAGTTCAGCAGGATGGTGGAGGCCGTGGACAAGACGATGGAGAAGCGGCTCGACAGGCTGACCGGGGAGCTGGCCCAGAAGACGGCGGAGCTGCTGGAGGTGCGGGCGGCCTTCGTGCAGCTCTCACAGAAGAAGCAGAAGGTGCAGCGGAGGGAGCGGGTGCTCAGCAGGCAGGTGGACGTGGCGGTGGAGATGATCACGGCCTTGAAGCAGCGCCTCAGCGAGTTCGAGGAGGAGGCAGAAAAAGAATTGAGGGGAAAAGCCAGGCTCCAGCACTTCATTGAGAACCTGCTGCAGTGTGTGGACCTGGCGGAGAGGCAGCTAGAGTATTACCAAAACCAGCAGATCGCCTGCAGCCGTATAGCAGATGTTACACTCTCTTTCCTAACTAGTAATCATGTGTCTCATCCATTTGTGGTGAATGGCCAGTGGCAAAAAGAAAAGGGGGAAAGTAAGGGGCGGCAAAGACAGAAACGGTACCAGGAGGATGCCACTGACACTGACGGCACGGGTAATAGCAGTAGTATAAGTGACACAGGTGTGGGGCGGCGGCGGGCGCCAGTGTCCTGGAAATGTGATGGTGAAAAGGACTGTGACAGTGCAGAAGATGAAGAGAATTGTGGCATTGTGACTTGTAGTGCAGCAGAATTTACATGCAGTAGTGGGCAATGTATTTCCAAAAGCTTTGTCTGCAATGGTCAAGATGACTGCTCCGACCACTCGGATGAATCTTTGGAGCAGTGTGGCCGCCAGCCTGCACCTCTGGTGAAGTGTTATGTGAGTGAGGTGCAGTGCGGCTCAGGTGAAAAAGACTGTGACAGAGATCCTGATTGCAAGGATGGAAGTGATGAAATTAACTGCTCTTCTCAGTCCTGCAGGCCAGACCAGTTCAGATGTGAAGATGGGAACTGTGTTCATAGGAGTAGGCAGTGCAGTGGTGTGAGAGACTGTCTGGATGGCACTGATGAAGCAAACTGTAACAATGTTATTCAGTGCTCTGGACCTGGCAAATTCAAGTGCGGAAGTGGAGAATGCATAGATATCAAAAAAGTGTGTATCCAGCAGAGAGACTGCAAGGACTGGGGTGATGAGCCCCTGAAGGAATGCAACATAAATGAATGTGACTGTCCAGCTGGGTTTGAGTTTGCAGACAAGAGAAACTGTGGAGATATTGATGAATGTCAAAACCCTGGTATCTGTAGTCAAATCTGTATCAACCTGACAGGTGGCTACAAATGTGAATGTAACTGTGGCTATCAAATGAATCCTGCTACAGGAACCTGGAAAGGGCCATACCAGTATAGAAATACAAATAACACCTGTGATTACAATGACACTGCTAAGCAGGGTTTAGGGGTTTATGGCACGGAGACAAGGGGTAACAACTACAGTGTTTGGAACAATTCTACAGCTTTGGCCTTACCTCCTGATGTTTTTCTGATTTGTGGGGATAGGGCCTGGCGAGGTATCCCTGCAAATGCTATCAGAAGTCCATGTTACTTAGATAAACTCATTGTATTTGCTTCTAGCTTGTTACAGTTGCATGAGATCACCAGACGTAAATGGGCATTGCTTGCACCGGATAGCAATGATAATGTTGAATTGTGTGGGGTTGCAGCTAGAGCGGCATTGGCAATTTTAGTGCCTGGAGTGGCATCTGTGGCCGCACATAACAACTGCTCGGCTGCGGGGATCGGCTGCGGTGTGGATGCCCCTAGGTGCACCCTGAGCGTTTTGTTCGGAGGGGACTCCACTCTCAGCTGCTCACCGCAGGAGCAAAGATCTCCTGTAGCTGCAGACAAACAGTATGTTTTCAGCTGCTGGAGGGGTACTAACTGGAGTGTTAATAATTGTATGTGTTATTCTTAAATGTCCAGGTATTTTGTGTTGAAAGTATTTGTGTAAGGGTAAGGTTTTAAAACAAAGTGTTGCAAGTCACTTCACGAGGAACACAATGAGAGAAAATACTTGTTTGTTTGCTTATCATTCTAAATTATATTCTTGTGGTATGATTGAGGTTGTGGTATGATTGAGAGTGAGATGTGCCAGAGGCCTCTGGGTGTACGATTGTGTTCTGTATGTGTGATTGTACTGTGTACTGTGTGAGAGAGAACGCATTTTAGCCATAGTACAGGTTATTGTTGCCACAGTGCAGGATCCCGGGATATAACCATAGTGCAGGCTAAAGGGAATGTAAAGGGAATGTTTAGACCTTTTTGATCATAATGAGTCCACTCACAAATTCATTACTTTCCTGAAAGAGCACATGAGAAAGAGTCAATATGGTATCAATCCTTTCAATCAATGGTTTGCTGATTTGTTTGAAACAATGCATTGATGGTTACTGGGATTAGTCAAAGGGGGATTAAGGATTCTGTTCATTGTGGTGTCAATCATCATTGCACGTAGTATTCTGATAAATGTGGTTAAGGGGTTACTTGCAAAAATGTTATAGGGATTTTGAAATGGTGCCGGGAACAGGTACCCCGTGGATCGCTGCAAAGTGGACTGAAGCAGTTTTAGAATCTGCACACGCTGAAGACGACCATGAAGAGGTTCCTGATAATTATTCTGATGATGGTGTGGGCTGTGACACCTCAAGGACTGTCAAGAACAGCCTTTGATCACCGTCAAGTGATTAGGTTTAAGTGTGTTACTATTAAGTTGTGTTATTTACTATTAAATCGTTTTACCATTAAGTGCTTACAGTAATTGTAGAGTTATTAGGGTTAAGTTGTACAGTTGCATTATGTATTCGACATCTGTTGTAAAACCAAGTACTGCTTGTACAAAAAGAAAGAATAGGAAAAGCTCTCTTTGTACTTAACCATTTATGTGTGTCTGGGGACAGCACTGAGCCCCTATAGTATGTCACCATGCAGGGGCAGAATCTTTTAAGCCACCACGCACGAAGGTGTTATACAGATACATGAAAACAGGACAATGGCTAGGCCCTGCTGAAGTGATTTACCTGGGGCGCGGTTATGTTTGTGTTTCTTCCCCTACAGGTGTGATCTGGGTGCCTAGCCGATGCATAAAACCAGCCGTTGAAGACGCAGGCGGCTGTCGCCAGAAGGAGAATATCGAGGAGCAAACAGCAGATAGAGTCAGCAGAAATGGCCTCGAAGCACTCAAACATTGGGTGGCCGGGGATGTACTGGGTTGGTCTCATGCTGGTGATGATGGTAGGAGACGACAGTGAAGCTGTATTGGAAAAGATTGATCCACAACAGAATATGTGGGTCACATGGGCCAATCAGACGGGGCAAAATTCATTCTGCCTGTCTCTCGCCTCGGCTACTGATCCCTTTAGGACATGTTTATTCGGGGTACCAGTAAGAGACGCGGAACGGTTGATTAAAATGACACAAGGGTACATGAAGAGCAATTGTAGCAACTTTACGCACAAAAATGTATCTGAAGCTGCGTCCTGTATAATTAGTAACTTGAATACCTCATTACCAGGGGATCCACAAGAGCTGGATCTCCTTGGGTCTGTAGCTGTGGGGAATAGTAGTGAAAGATGGACTCAAACATGCTTTATGATAGGCGATCATAGGCAAGGACTAAATGTTTTCCGAAACCATGACCTTACGGGCTGGACCAATGTATCTTCCACAACGCAAGGATTTGGATACCGAAATAAAGGGGACTACTGCGGCACCAATACCTCCAGGAATCAAGGACTGGGGACTTTAGGAGCTGAAGCAAGTCCAAAACATAAGGACAAATTGATCTGGAATAATGACACTGCAAAAGCTCTGCCATCTGGCATATTTTTGATCTGTGGGGACCGTGCATGGCAAGGAATACCTGCTAATGTATTTGGGGGTCCGTGTTATCTAGGACAGCTTACGTTGTTCGCTCCGGACTTATACAGTCTCCGGAACCAGAGCTTGTCACGGAGATCCAAACGAGCTCTTAAAACTTTGGGTTCTGACTGTGATGATGGTGTGGAATTATGGGGTGCTGCTAGAAGAGTATTTGCTTCGCTTGTTCCAGCGATTGGAACCGCACACGCATTAGCTAGTATTAATAAGCTTGCTTGTTGGGCTGTTAAACAATCAACGGTAACTACTCAAATCCTTACAGAAATGGCACAAGATAGGGATAGCCTTCGACATGCGATTTTGAAGAATAGGGCAGCGACTGATTTCTTGCTTTTAGCACAAGGGCATGGGTGTGAAGAGATAGAAGGGATGTGTTGTTTCAACCTCTCGGATCACGGTCAATCAATTCATGGCCAACTGAAATGGTTGAGGGAGCACATGGGGAAAATTACGGTACAAACTAGTTGGTTTGACAATTGGCTGCAATCCATCTTTGGGGGTCTGTCTAATTGGTTAGTGAGTTTAATCAAAGAGGGATTTCGCTTTCTGCTTATAGTTATACTGATAATAATAGCTGCGCGAGTAATTTTTGGGTGCGTAACTAAGAAGCTTGAACAGGTCACAGAAAAGGCATTAGTAGTCCAAAATAAAAACGGGGGAATTGTGGAGGAATGGTTAACTGAAATAGGTCACGTAGACATAAAGCAGCTGAGGGATCTTTGAAACAGTAAGAATCCCATGGCCTGCTGTAGCTGAGCAAACCAAACTGCCAGAGTAACTGTGAGAAGCTCCCACGGCAATGACTCCCACATCGCCCAATTAAGGAACTCAGAAAATACTGTTACCAGCAGCTGGCCTCAAGGACTAGGTCTAAGTGACCGCTAATCACAAAGGGGGTTGTTTTCCTGACTGCTAATCAAAAGGGGGGTTCTTTTCTTGCAGGTGGGGTTGTTTTCTTGTGGTTGTTTGTCTGAGTGCTCTTGACCAATAATCTTGTGTGAAACACTGTCCGCCCCTGTAAAGTTCACTATAAAAGTTAGGCTATTCGGGCAATAAAATGGAGCAGCATGATCTGACTCAACTGGTGTCTGTCGTGCTTTCGGCCGTGCTTCGCAACATTCACATACCCTGTGAAGAATGCCACCACCCAAAATACCATTTGGGGCCTGGAAAGGCAACGTCTAAGATGGCATGGTACCACAGAAAGAATTGACTCAGACAATGGGGCTCATTTCCAGAACAACCTCATAGACTCCTGGGCCAAGAACCATGACATTGATTTGGTATCACATCCCTTGTCACCCACAAGCTTCAGGAAAGGTTAAAAGGTATAATGGCCTCTTAAAGGCTATGCTACAGGCACTGGGTGCTGGGGCATGGAAACACTGGACACAAATTTAGCAGAAGCCACTTGGCTAATTAACACCAAGTGCTGTGGTTCCATGGTACAGCAGAGAGAACTGAGTTAGAAAATGAGAGTCACTTCCAAAACAATCTTGTCACTTTCTGGGCCAAGAGGCATGGCATTGAGTTGGTGTATCACATCCCCTACTATCACCCACAAGCCTCTGGAAAGCTTGAGAGATACAGTGGACTGTTAAAGACCATGTTATGAGCATTGGATGCTGGGACATGGAAACACTGGGACGTGAATTTACCAGAATCCACTTGGCTAGTTAATACCAGAGGATCTGACAACCATCCTGGTCCTGCTGAAACAAAGCCCCTACACACTGCTGGAGGAGATAAAGTTGCCATAGTGCTTGTAGGGAAATGGATGGGAAAGGCAGAATTTGTCCTTTCTCCATAGTGGTCCACTTGCCTGGTAGGCATACAAGTTCTTCCTTGAAGGGATACCTTTCCCTCACAGCTGACAGGAGACGCCTCCAGAGGCTGTGAGATCGTGTTCCATCTGCAATTGCTTTGTCAATGCCGGCGTATCTAGCAAGGGATCCCAGCCACCTGGCTTCCTTGCCCTCTAATTCCACACAATTGGCTCCAGTGTCCCAGAACCAGAACAGCCAGGTGACAAGCTGCTCACCTATACAGCGACCAAAATCTTTTTGCACATCTCATAGCTCACACTGGTATAGGTTTCGGGTAGTTGCTGTTGATTTTTCGGAATCCTCATCTTCCTCCTCCTGAATCCCTGATGGCCCATCATCATCTTCTCTATACCTAGACTTAGCAGAAAACTCTCTGTGTTCTGGACGACCTGAATCTCTATACCATTTTTTCACCTTCTCTACAGGGGCAACTTGAACTGCTACAGTTCGTTTCTCTGACCCAGCCACAGGAGCTGGAGCGGATGCAGGGTCCATTGTAGGGGTTGGAGTGGTGTTGGGCCTCTCACAGGACTTGGAGTGGCCACAGGGTCTGTCACTAAGTTGATAGTAGTATCAATTGCAGCTCAATAGGCATGAGCCAGGCCCCAGCATGTTACAGTGATTTGTGTCACTTTGGAACTGCCAGAGTCATGACACTCTTTTTTCAAGCATTCTACCAGTTTTTTAGGATTTTGCCATTGTTCAGGGGTGAATTTCCAAAACACTGGAGGTGCCCACTGCTCTAGATGCCCGCCCATATCCTCCCATACTCCCTGACACTCATAACTATCCTGCCTCAGGACAGATCTCTGGATGAGATTCCTAAGTAGTTGTTTAACTTTAAACAAAACCTGAAGTGCATTCAGGAGACATAACAACAAGAACATGCTGGTCTGAGTATCCCAAGGATATTCAACATCTTGGAGAACTATTGTAACAAGCTGGGAGGATAAGAGGGTGGTGAAGGAGAAAGGGAGAGTGAACAAGTAAGAAAAAATATCTTCCCCTTCCCCTCCACAAATTGTCTCCCCAATGAAAAAAGACAATAGGTGTAATTGTTGATAGTTTCCAAAGTATAGAGTCGACGACAGTGCTGAGTACAAATACCAAGTTAGACTCATGACCAGAAATTTCATCATATCATAAGCCACTGTTACAACACACAGTTCCATAATGATCTTAAACCAGGGCCCAGAGAGAATAAACAACATGACAGAGAGCACATATGGAAAATAACTTGCTATAGTACTCAATTTGGAAAACAGTCGCAGCAGACTTGAGATTAAAGCAATCAGCATTATGTCTAGCTCCTATTTTAAGCAGGTCTAACACCAATTTTAGTTTAACACACTCTGGTCAGTTCTGTCGTTATCTCAGCTCTTCGAGCCCCACGTTGGGTGCCAAAAGGACTGTCGTGGTTTAACCCAGTTGGCAGCTAAACACCACACAGCCGTTTGCTCACTCTCCCCCCTCCCTCTCTGGGATGGAGGAGAGAAACGGGAAAGTGAAGCCTGTGAGTTGAGATAAAGACAGTTTATTAAGACAGGAAAATAATAATAACAACAATAATAATGACAAAAATGATGATAACAGTACTAAGAATAATAATGTGTACGAAACAAGTGATGCACAATGCAATTGCTCACCACCCGCTGTAGGAATAGAAATGTTGTTTTTGCAGAGTTACATTGTTTAGAAGGAAGGAATGTGGTACTGAGATGCTTACAGTGATAAGAAAGCTTAAGCAGGTGACCTTGTAAAATGCAGACAACCAGACTCCTTAGGACAATTAGGTGAAAATCACGGTGTTAAGTCAAGTCAGATAAGTGAAGAAACATTACCACTTCAAACAGTAAAAATGGCAAAAGGAAATTGAAATTTGACAGGCCGGCTACTGAAGGCCATGCATTGTTTGTGAAGCATCAGATAGATTGTGAACCTGGATTACCGACTCAGTAGGGAAACAGGGGAGGGTCCTGTCATCAAAAAGTATATAAAATGTGTTTTGGAACTAGTAGATGCGCTCTCCTGCTTGTGGGGTGCCCGCCATTGCAATCGCGAATAAATTACTACTTCACTGAGATCCTCGCCTGAGCCTAAGTTATTGGCTACGGAGTGTTTCTCACACCGCTGACCGATGCCCAGCCTAACCCCAAGTAGTCCGGCCCCCCTCCCCCGGTTAGCCATCCCTATATATTGTTTAGCATGATGTCAGATAGTATGGAATACCCCTTTGGCTAGTTTGGGTCACCTGTCCTGGGTCTGTCCCCTCCCAGCTCTTGCTGCACCCCCAGCCTGACCTTTGGCAGGAAAGAGCAAGAAGCTGAGACGTCCTTGTCTTGGTGTAAGCACTGCTCTTCAACAATTAAAACATCGGGGTGTTATCAGCACTCTTCTCATCCTAAGCCAAAACACAGCATTCTACCAGCTACTAGGAAGAAAATTAACTCTGTCCTAACTGAAACCAGGACACTGTCCTAACTGAAAGCAGGACAAAAGGCAAGGCAAGGGAAGGCAAGGGAAGGCAAGGAAAGGCAAAGCAAGAA